CACTGCTCCACGATCTCTCTCAGGTTGGGGTTTTCCATGGCGGCCGCCACTCGCTCCTTATCGTTGATCTGTTTGTTAACTGACACACAAACAGACATTACGCACTTTAACGTTAACGTTCCAGATGTTGTCCTGTTGTTGTGAACGAGTCTGACGCAGACAATCTCCTGCTGCTTCTCCAGATGTTAAAGACAAACTCCAGAAAATGTCCGACCTCACTTCTCAAGAGTTTGTGTCATGAAACAGTTTTCGTTTCCTTTTGTCAAAGCGGAAACAAAAACACAAACTTTGTCTGATTCCAGAAAAGATCAATAAACCGAAATCTGAACACGATGACTTTCTCGCAGCAGATTAACTTCAACATCTGACCTGAAGCTCCAAACTAAAGGTCACGTGAATGATGAGGATGAATTATGAGGATGAATTATGGATGACGGGATTCTCTCACTGTGTTTGAATTTGACTCCTGGAGAAATGTTTAACAAATAATAATTGAAACGTTATTGATCCCTCAAGGGGAAATTCTTTTTACACTCATTTCATTTTTTATACATGCAGTTTAACCCACACTACCGTGAGCATTTTTAAATCACTGAGTTTGAGGTTTGTTCCGTCTGAAAACTCCCTGAAGCTGCTCACATGAGAAAATAAGTCTCCACTGTCATTAAGTTTTGTTCCTTGAAGCTGCATCACAATCGTAATTATACTAATGTTGTTTTTGTTGACCACATTTCCAGGACTCTGCGTCAGAGAGGATGTGGAAAACTGTCTCAGCAGGAGGTCGTTCAATCTAAAGAAACCATTTGCTCTCTTGAATTTAAAAAAACAGACTTACTATCTTCCTCGGTAGAATGAGTTCCTTCTGAAATGTAAATTTCCAACTGAGGAGACAAGGAAAAAACAGCTGATGAGAAAAGTTCTTTTCAGTTGTTGTTCATGAAATTCAATGAAGAACAAAGTGAGGTGTGTTTTAAATGCTGGCCTGAGAATAAACGAGACGGAGTGGAAACACAGAAACAAGTTTAGGATTAAAAAAAAGAAGAATGACAGTAAAGTCAAAAAGTAAAACTGAACAAACAAATATCAATTAATAAACTGTGAATACATCACGAAGGTGTGTGTGAGCAAAGATATATATAAGATATATATTAACGACAGAGTGTAGTTCCATCACTACTAAGATAAGAACTACCTCAATTCGCCCAAACCTTTGACAAACATGTATTTAATGTATACTTCAGTTTTTTATTTGGTCCATGTCCCATCTGCTAACAGATGGGACCCCCCCCCCGCCCCGCCCACCCAAGTTCACCTCCGACATTTTCTAACCATCGATACAAACAAGTTCAATATTCTTATCATTCAAAACGTCAACGGATGAACTGCAACGACAAACGTTCCCTGTGAAATGATCCTCGATGAGATGAGAGAATCATCCAGAGGTTTCAAACTGAGCGAGGGGACAGGGACGTGTTCGGTGGGAAGGAGGACGTAGAGACATTCCAATCTTGAGTCCCCAGCGTTCAAGTCCAAATCACTACTTGAACCTTTTTTCAAGAAACTAGAAGGTTCGTCCAGATCATTGTTCACCTGCACATCCACCAGGGTCTGCAGACCAGGGGACTCAAAACAAGCAACACAAAACTAACATCGCACAACACAAGAGACTCAGCTCGTGCTGCTGCTGTCAGAGATTTCTTCTGTGAATAAGATCACATACAATGCAGCAGGTTTTTAAAACTGGTGGCTGAAATAAAACCCTGCGCTAATTAGGTTGGTTTAGATCCGTCAGCCCCACAACAAAGGTTCACAAACTCTCCTTAAGTACTTTTCCACTTGTTTGGACGGGGAAAAGATTTCCCAGCTGATTCATTTAGACCCTGCTCCCTGCGGCGGAAACAAAAGCTTTCTGCAAAGGTTCCTAGTTCCCACGGAAAGTTCCTGTGTGAAAAAGACTCGAGAGTCCAGTTCCCACAACATGAGTCATTAAAGTGGAGTTTGATGTGAAATCTGTGAAAGCGTGATTATTAACGGTGAACACGTGAATCCACATTAACGCTGGTGAATGCATGTACCGACATGTCAGTAAACATTTAAATAGTATTAAAATGTCCAAGTGATGGTAAATACCCAGAATCCAGCTGCTACTCACCTTGTGTTTAAAAGGCAAACATCTCTGCAGCTTCACTTGTAAACACAAACCTGCAGACACACACAACATGGCCGTCAGACAAGAGCAGTGGAACAAACTGAAAACACAAAACTGGTCTGGAGTCAGTGGATCTGAGCTGTGGAACCAAACTTATTCTAATTCATCCCACCACAGTTTCATGATGATTTATTCTCCAACACACAATAACACAAGAGTCTGTCACTTGGTGTGTGTTGTGATATTTGCAGTATTAGAATCAGGTGAAACACACATTCGTTGTCTTCACGTATGATCTGTGAACTAGAATAAAAACGCCCTCTGGTGGACAAACATGAAGTCAGACTCCATCAGGCCGCAGGTCGTCTGAGTCACATTAATGAGTCAAACACTGACGAGAACAGGAACTAAAGCTGAGTCATACAACCCCCCCCCCCCCCCCCCCCAACTCCTGCCCACAACAGATTAGATCGCTGCCAACGGCCGACAGCGTGAAGACAAAGGGTCAAACTGTCAGTTACACCAACTGCAGCGATGACGAGGGATCAGCTGCTCGGACCACGACTCCTCATCTCCGCTGTGTTTCCAGAAGCTGACAAACTGTGCAGCAGGAAGTGAAACAGACCCGGAGCAACGCACAGCAACGCAGAGTCATGTGGTGAAAAGTCAAACTATAGAACGAACAAACCCTGAGTCATGATCTGTGGGAGCGACTGGTATGGTCCATGTCCCATCTGCTAACATGGAGGAGGTTTATGAGCTTTACTGCAGCCAGCCACCAGGGGGCGATTGAAATGTTTTGGCTCAACTTTTGAGAGCTGTGATGTCGTCCATCTTTATTCACAGAGAATGATTCACACGTTCATTGTTTTGACCTGTCAATGAAACTTTAAATGATGTCATCTCTTCTTCTGCAGTTTTATAACGACACCTCACTGGAGAATTAGCGCCACCAAGTGTTTACCTCCATGAACACGCTCCTGATGTTCATGAGAGTGGATACAAACTTTTACAGTAACAAGTAACATCTGGAATAAAACTGCAAAGGGTTGAGTTTATACTTGTACACGTTACAAAGCGTTTCCTACGTCCCTCACAGTTTGTAAAGCTGGAGACAGATTTCAGCTCAGGTCAATGTCCCTGCAACAACAAGTCTCTTGAGTGGCGAGGACGTTTCAAACTCTCGTTAAATCCTTTTAACTGGCAGATCAAACCCAGACTGAATAATGGACCTAACGCTGTGACTCATGGGATGTTGAGTGATGGTGACATCATCAGCAGCGATCTGAGGAGACGCTGATCAAACCTGAAGACAACAAACCATCGACCCTCTTTGAAAAGTCTCTGATGTCCATCAGCTCCTGACGCTGACTCACCGATCAGAGTGGCCAGGGAGCAGTGAGGGACGGTCGGGGAGAACTTGATGATGATCAGGTACTCGTCCTCTCCCAGCTCCTGGACCTCCACACATTTCTCCGTCACCACGTCCAGCTCCTCCAGGGTGTTCGGCTTCTCCGGGTCCCGGATCGACCGGATCACATCTGGTGCAGGGAGGGAAACCAGATGTGACACTGTTTTCAACAGACCGTCTAAAAATAACAGTCTGACGCTCCTGAACACTTTTCACCAGAGTGACTCCATTACAGTACTCACACTACTAATACCAACAGTACTACACACTAACAGTTCTAACAGTACTACACACTAACAGTTCTAACAGTACTACACACTAACACTACCATATACTATCAGTACTAACAGTACCATATACTAACAGTACCATATACTAACACTACCATATACTATCAGTACTAACATTACCATATACCAACAGTACTACACACTAACACCTCCATATACTAATCATATACTAACACTTCCATATACTAACAGTACCATAAACTGTACTAACATTCCTAAACACTAACAGTTCTAACAATACTAACAGTACCAACTGTACTACACACTAACAGTTCTAACAGTAGTAACAGTACTACACACTAACAGTACTAACAGTACTACACGCTAACATTACTAAGAGTACTACACAGTAACAGTACAGACAGTACTCTAACAGTACCAACAGCACTAGCTGTTCTACAGTTCTAACACTAATCTAACAGTACTAACAGTACTAGCAGTTCTACAGTACTCAAGCAGTACTGACAGTACTCTAACAGTACTCTAACAGTACTGACAGTATTAACAGTTATACAGTACTCTATCAGTACTGACAGTATTAACAGTTATACAGTACTCTATCAGTACTGACAGTATTAACAGTTATACAGTACTCTATCAGTACTACAGTACTCGAACAGTACTGACAGTATTAACAGTTATACAGTACTCTATCAGTACTAACAGTACTCT